AAGAGGATCCAGGTAATTCGGCTCTAATCCCCACCCTCCATTGCCATTTAAGCCTCTTGATGGCTTTTAGTATTCTTGCTCTTCCTACTTTTCTTAGAACATGAAGCTTGAAGTTATGTCAGAATGATGTCACCTGAAATCGAGAACTCCATTTTTTTGGACCAGGCCCTTCTGTAACATGGAAAATCAGTTTGTACTTGCTCAGGACGCCACTGAGTAAATTAAGCCAACTTCTCTAACACCAAGAATTACTATTGAGCAATGGCAATAATAGCAACAAGTGGCAGAAGAGTGAAACAGCCTCTTCTTGCCCTGGAGAAATAGTATAGAAATCTAGGAGAAGTTCATTAGTCTGAAAGTGTCTTGGTTCTGGAGAGAAATAAAAGTCATGCTAGCTCTCTGCCCATGTTTCTCTTTTTTTTCTACCCATAGACTATGGAGGAATGTGGCAAAGCTCTGGTCTGTCTTCTTCTGGAGGTGAATGCAGATCTCCAAGAGTGCCACAACACCTGGAACAAATATTTCATCAGGCAAGTCCCTGAAGGAAATTTTTCCTTCATTCCCAGCTTTGGCCAATTGGTCGCAAACTGCTTCTTCAAATGTTTATGTAGCTTCTAAGGCAGGGGTGTCAAACTCAATTTCATTGAGGGCTGCATCAGCATTGTGGTTGCCCTCGAGGGGCCGGGTGGGTACGGCCTACTGGGTGGTCATAGATGGAGTGGGTGTGGCCTATTGGGTGTGCATGGCCAGCTCTACATCGTTCGTGTCAAGGGTGCCTGTGGGAGCCTGGGCAGGAGTGGGACAGATCTGAGGGTCTCTGGCAGAAGGGGGTGGGACCGGGGCAAGCGCCAAGGCATGATCCATTTCTTCATTCCTCACAAAGGGTGACACCTCTCCAGCATGCACCCAGGGGGCGGGGCTGACACGGCAGGGGCTGGTTCCTCGCTGTTTCTAGACGGCCTTGTGGAGCTAAGACTGAATGTGTTTCAGCATAGATGGCCACCACAAAATTGTACATTGGCTCCCGGCCGGCCTGGGCCAGGGCCAAGGCAGCGGGGACCGTTCCCTCACTGTTTCCAGGATGGCTTCGCGGGTCACATGAAACCACTTCGTGGGCCGCATCCGGCCCCCGGGCCTTTTGTTTGACATGTCTGTTCTAAGGCCACAGAAAGTTGCTATCAAAGTGAGTGGCTGAATCCAGATCACAGAAGTGATAAGAAAACAAGCTTAGCAAGTACAAAATTCCATTCTAATGATATGGTTGCTTGCTAGTTCTTCCCAGAGGATCTGGCACGCTGTGTACTTCGGTTATTTAAATGAATGCACATTTTAATACATGTGCCTGTTGGGCTTAAAGAAAAGAAGAAATAATAAAACTGGTTAGATCAGACCTCTGTGCAGTATTTACTGTACTAGAAATTTTCTTGTGGTTGGTTAGAGACTTTTGTCATTGTATTTCCCTGCTCAGCAACTATTCTTTTGTGGGTGGATTATTTTAATTGAGAAGACAAGCCTCTAGGTCTCTTCTTATCCTCCCAAATAGGCTTGTCAGCAAGTCAAAGTTTCAACTTCCTGGTTGTCTTTCTTGTTGCCAATTATGAGAATTCAGCTAACAATACTGAGAATGCTGGTTCTGGGTTGCCTCTGGGCTGTTATAGTAACTAATCTGTTATATGTGGATGCATCAATTAAATTAGTGCTGTTAGTTTTAAATACGTGAGCAGTTCGGAAATAAACCTCCGTTTGGTTATCAATGACAGACACTCGCAGATACAGAATTTTTATTATACGCATTAGAAAACTACAACATTGCATTACTTTTCATAACGTCTTACAAGGTTTGAAATTCCTTAGTAGTAGTCGCTCAGCGCCACATCTGAGCTATGGGGAGGGTGATCAAAAACATCGCAGATACAGAACTTTTATTATACACATTAGAAAGCTATAACATTACATTACTTTTCGACATAATCGCCATTCAAATTGAGGTGCTTGTCATAACGTCTTACAAGGATTGAAATTCCTTAGTAGTAGTCACTCAGCACCAAATCTATAGGAGAGTTAATCAAAAACATCCCAACGCAACTGCTTCAAAAGTTCTTGGGTGCGTCTAGTGGTGTGCAGGCAAGCATTATTGTGAACCAACATCACACCGGAAGTGGTACCATAGAAAATCCTGCCAAATGTGAAGATGCCAAAGGAGTACTGCTAGTGAAGTTCATGGAGCATGGTTCGACCATCAATTCAGATATCTACTGTGAAATGTTACGAAAACTCAGACGAGCCATCCATAGCAAGCGTCGGGGTATGCTGACTTTTGGTGTGGCGTTGATATAATGTGTATAATAAAAGTTCTGTATCTGCGAGTGTCTGTCACTGATAACCAAACGGAGGTTTATTTCCGAACTGCTTTCGTACATAATGATAAACCTAGCAAATAAAACCCATGAACAAATTTCTGATCGTGTCTTTCTCCTTCTTCCTCCAATACAGCACCATGAGACTAGATCTCTTCTCAATTGCATATCTTAAAATGCAGGAACTGGTGAGTAGTTGTTCCACTGCTTTGTGTCAAAGAGGACCTCAGGCTTATATCCTATAGCAAATTCAGAAGATACTGGGGTAAATGACTAGTGGAAGAATAATCCAATTACTTTAGAATTTCTAAGGCAGCTTTCTTCAATAGTGATGCCGTGCGGACTTACAGAATTCTCAGCAATGGTTATATATTGGCTGGAGAATTCTAGAAGCTAAGTCTATATATCTGGAGTACACCCGGAGTGAGGAAAAGAACAGGAACTCGTCTTTGAATTAGCCACTCTAATCAGTAGTGAGGATTCATCAGTTTCACTTTGATGATGAAACTAGTTCCTGAGCCAGTTTTTGCAGATTTCTACTCAGGACCGACTAGTGGTATCTTTCTGATTCAGTTTCAGTGTATCAACCCAAAATGTGTGCAGTCCAAAAACCTGATCCATTATACTTTTTTTTAATGCTTCTGCAGGTTTCTCGTTATGTCAAAGAGCAGCTGAGCAAGATTGACAGCGGCATGTCCCAATTAACAGCAGAGAGCCTTTTCCAACTTTATCTCAGCATGAAGGAGTTCTATCGCATGAAGGATTTTGTGTGCAGCAGGTGTTTATCTCTGCAGAGAGCAACACTTGGCTTTCAGTCTTTAGGCTGTTTTATACATTATGGTGGTTGTTTTGAGATTACTCTTATAATGTATTGTTATCACTGAATCATCAGTGCCAAAACTAGGGCCTGATTTGTGTGCTTCACTAAAAAAATGTGGTTTGTTTGGGTTTGAGTTAGCATGAGTTGCAAGCCCAGTTTAAGCATAGTGTGCTGTATAGATTAATTATGATTCATTTGGTAAAATACTGTTAAACAAGCAAAAGCTTAGCATGTTGTGTGAACTCTTCTGTAGATGAATTGCTGACTGTTTATAACCAATGACGGTTTGTTGAGACAGGTTTGTGATTGGTCACCACAACAAAAATATCCTCTATAATAAAACTAAGTCGAATGTTTGGGAAATAAGAAAGACTAGTTCCTCATGAGATTTCAAGCCACTTCTGTTTTGTATTTCCAGGGATACCCCTCTTGCATTGACTGGTTTCCACCTATGGTTTAAAGAAGCCATTCCCTTGTGGCTACAGAAGACCTACACAATAGCTCTAGAAAGGACCCAAAGAGCCATCCAAGTGGACCAGGTAATCCCACCCAGAAAGGAAAGCATTGCTCAATTGTTTTTATTTCCCTGTTTTTACTGGATAAGGTGTTTCTACTTTCATACACTTAATTGTTGATGTATAATATGTAGCACTTTCATATCAGCCCCTGATACTACCATCACTTAATTTTGTTTGTGGATTAACAAATGAAAGTTGTGAATTACATTGTGTGTATATTTCTTTGCAAATAAGCAGGTATCTTAATGTGAATTATTTGCTAACATATCTTAATCCAGTCTGACACCTGTGGTTGGCAATTATGGAATTATCTGAATCTGAGTAATTATCCAGCAATGAATTCAGCAATTTGAGCTTACATCAGATCCATGTAAGATTCATTGAGCTTATATCAGGTCCCTTGAACTAGTTGCTGTCTTCACACAGGTGGCACAGGCTAATAATTTTATAATGCTTTCACAATGCCTGTGTTGTTCAGATAAAGACACACTGCTACTTTGGTTAAGAGTATGGATGTTCATTCTTATGAGATATTTTTTAAAAAAATATTGTTTAACTCAGATAATTCTCAATGGTTGTTTCTATACTTTTATCTTGGGGGTTTTCAAATGACAAAAGAAAAGATGACATGTGGTTTAATACAATATACTGTATATTAGTGGAAGGTAAAAAAGCGTAGAGAGAAATCTTAAGATCCTGGAAAAAAGACAAAATGCACAACTTTAACAATGGGCAGTGCAGGATATAAGAAAGAGACAGAAATAATGAATCAGAAATGGCCAACATTTTCTAGAATATCTTGAAAATTTATTTCCTTGATCTTTTTCCTGCCATTGAAACCCACTGAACAGAAAACAAATGGTACTGGCTTCAGGCTAGGACACTTTGGGATCTACAACTGCCTCCAACACACTTCCACAACACCATTTTGGGAGTTCTTACTACTCATGAAAATACCGTAGGAGGTATCCCTGGATCCCAGAATGCTTTTCCCATGAACATACTGGAGGCCTTTGCAGCAGAGATGTTACCCTTTCAGGCATCTCTGCACAGAATTGCTATGCAACATTTCTAAAAACAAAACAAAACACTCCAAAAGTCTGATTGTTCCAGACTTACTCCAGATGTACCGAGCAAATTGTAGATATGATGTTCTGGGTCAAGTAATTGGAAGAAGGGAAATTCGGGTGTTAAAATCCCATTGTCTGTCTAGGATATTCAGGGTCCAATAAAGCTCCAATCGAAGCCAAAAGCTCATCCTGTAACATTCCAGATTAAATTCTGACCCTAATAATCTGATGTTGCTCCCTTTCTCTGGTTTCATTTCTGTTCAGTTGACACCACTGGGAGACCTGAATAAACACAGTACATCCATTGTTGACCTATCCACTTGTTATGCTCAGATGGTGAAGACCTGGCAACAGCTGGATTGGCCTGATCCTGAGGAGGCCTTTATGATCATGGTGAAATTTGTCGAGGTATGTGCAGAATAAGGAAGCTCAGATCATTCTAATCTGTGCCAGAAGTCACCTCTATCTCACTGTTTATTAATCTGCAATGGTTTAAAGAAAAATCAGTGTAAAAATCACACTGGAAAGTTGCAGATTGTACAAATACAATATGCCATACAACTTTTAAAGCAATGTGGATAAATGAGATCACCTTGAAAATTTTAAGGCTGAAGACTATATGGGAAGTTGAAAAGATTACTGTAAGTGTGACCAGTTCTGTGTCAAATTCATGTCTTTCCTATTGGTCAAGACCCTTCCATGAGAGAATGTGCAGTTTGATCCAGATGGAGATAAATTCATCCATGAGTGAGAGGATGAACTTGCCTGCACTTAAGGAGGCAGTGGTGGTCCCTTCCTTTAGAAACCATCACTGGGTCCAATGATATTGGACAATTATCAGCCTGTCTTCAGTAGGAGGAAGGTGGTTGGATTGAAGGTACAGAAGGCTCTGGACCATGTGGATTATCTGTATCCCTTTCTGTCAGGTTTCAAATCTGGTTATAGTGCTGAAACATCATTGATACTGCTTGTGGATTATCCCTGGCAAGATTGAATTATAGTAGTTGGTAGCAGTACAACCAGTGCTTTTTTTCTAAAAAAAAAAAAAAAGGTGCCGGAAGTCACACACGTCATATAACCCGCCTTGCCTACCCTACAAGGTTCCATCCAAAAAAGGTGCCGGAACTCCGTTCTGGGCGTTCTATGAGAAAAAAAGCCCTGAGTACAACCATTTTGACTGTCCTTTAACTGTGTTCAACTTTCAGTACTATCAATCATGGTATCCTTCTTCATTGGCTCAAGGGGCGGGAACATTGCGGTGATTCTTTCTTTCAAGTCACTTGCAATTAGCATTGGAGGGAGAGGTTTTGGTCCAAAGCCTCTGCTTTGTGGGATTCCTCAGGCAGTACTCGTTTCCCCCCTATTTAACACTTACATGAAGCTGCTGCGTGAGATCCTCCATTGGCACAGGATTAGTTTGCTGATGATGCCTAGATATAGATCTCTACCCCTGACTGATCACCTGAGACCACTAAGATTATTTCTCTGTGTTTGGAAGCTGTGGGAATTGGAAGAGGAGAACAGGTTTAGGCTCAATGTAGCGAAGCCTAATGGTTGTGGGTTTTAGATCTGGGTACTTGAGGTCTGGGTACTTGCCATCATTGTTTCTGGATGGGGTGGAATTGGTTGCAATTGGAGCAACTTCTGTACTCTCAGCGTGTGTGAAGAACAGATTAAATCTGTGATTAGGAGTGTCTTTGCGGAAATCCAGTCTGTGTGCCAATTGTACCTCTTCCTAGATTGGGAGGCCTTGTTCATGGTCACTTACACCTTAGTCATCTCTTCTCCAAATTACTGCAATATGCTGTACATAGGGTTTGCTTTTGAAAATGTCTTGGAATTTGCAGCTGCTCCTGAATACAATGGCAGAAGTAGTTATGGGTGNAATTGTATTATTCTACTGAATATTATGATTGTGCTCGAAATCTTCTATAATACTAATAATAAGTTTTCCTTCCAGGGACCATGTATTGCACAGGGAAGAGATAATTGGAATTATGTTTAATTAAAGACTCTTAATATATTCAGGGAATGTGCCAATCAAGCAATGACAAAAGGTTATGTTATTTGTCCTTCACTTTGTTTCCTTTTTCATTGAAGAACAAAAGGCAAATTTGTTTTCTTAGAGAAAAAAAAAGACTGTGCAGTTGCAGCATTAGAAGATTAGAACCTCTGAATTCAGGACCTGTTACATTCCAGTTGTATGACTCAGTCATCACTGAGGTTTCCTTACAGAACAGTCACTGATGCTTCCTTACAAAAGAATCAACTGTGCTTGATTACATTGTACATTGTAGGGACCAAAGACAGTCACGTGTCCTTGGAGGATGCAGCGAAGCCCACCTACTGCGTTGACTGATCAGTAACAGTTTTCTCTTTTCTGACTTCTTAGGACACGTGTAAACTTGCTCTGATGTACTGTCAGATGATCAAAGGAAGGGCAGAGGCATTGTCTTCCAATCAAAGTGACGCAGGACAAGCAGCAAACAGGGTAAGTGGTAGAGCCAGATTTGGGCTACGAGAAACGAGGTTGAACACAAGGACTGACCTGATTCTACCTTCCTCCCATCCTCCAGCTCTGTGTTGTGGTGAACAACATTGAGCAGCTCCGGATGATGATCCTGAAGTTGCCCAATCAGCTGAACTGGGCATGCTTGGAACAGAACGCCGGACCTGTCATTACCCCCGAGCAGATCCAGCACACGCTGCATCATCAGCTTCAGGCTTCTATTTCCTGCCTCAACAATGAGATCCGAAGAGTGGTGCAGACTCTGGGAATCAAAGTAACCTCACAGGCTCAGTCTTCCTCTTTTCCTCCAGCAGCATTAAAGGGTCAGGGGAAGTCCGTGACTAGAACGGTGAAAGTCCAGTGGCAAAGTGTCATTCCACATTTGTTTGGTCTGCTTCCTATAAGGAACCACTGGCTCTTCAGAGACAAAACTCACTGAGTTTTTATGCCTCTGAGAAGTGGGGGTCAGTGCTATTGGAATGACAGACAGTGGAAAAAACACGAATGCCAAAACCAAAGGCACTTGTGTAAAAAAGAAAACAGCAGGGTTGCTTTATTTTGGGGAATTACTGGCCAGAGCTGGTCATTTGTTAGCATTTTCTGCATGTTAAATGTTCAAGGAGCCAGTCAGCCACTGATGCCCTTTCCTACCTTACTCCATTCCCTCCTTTACCCATAACAGATCTTTAGGCTTTACACTACAGGTAGTCCTTGACTTATAACCATTTGTTTAGTGACCGTTTGAAGTTGCAACGGCGCTGAGAAAAGTGACTCATGACCATAGATCACACTTATGACCGTTGCAGCAACCCCAGGGTCACGTGATCAAAATTTGGGTGCTTAGCGACCGGCATATATTTATGGCGATTGCACTATTCTGGAGTCACGTGATCCCCCTTTGTAACTTTTCCAGCTGCCATCTGACAAGCAAAGTCAGTGGGGGAAGGCAGATTCGCCTAATGACCGCATGATTCATTTAACAGCTGCAGTGATTTGCTTAACAAACTATGGCAAAAAAGGCATAAAATGGGGGCAAAACTCACTTAAAAACCGCCTTGCTTAGCAACAGAAATTTTGGGCTCAGCTGTGATTGTAATTCGAGGACTATCTGTACTAGAATGTTTCATACAAGTTGCTGAATCCCCCAGCCTGTTGTACATGAAATTCAATCCTACAGAAGAAATTCTGTCTGTAATGGTATATGTGATGTGTGACAATGGCATTGGACAGAACAGAGAGAAAACTCATATCTTCTATCTTAAACGTTCAAGGAGTTTAAATGTGTAAAATACGAATGGCCCAGCTTTAGATTGTTCCCACAAAAATCTCTAAGATGCAGTATGGAATGCCTGAAATGATGTAGATATGAATGGCCTAGAACAGGGGTAGGCAACCTTGGCTCTTTTATGACTCGTGGACTTCAACTCCCAGAATTCCTGAGCCAGCAGGGAATTGGGAATTGAAGTCCACGAATCATAAAAGAGCCAAGGTTGCCTACCCCTGGCCTAGAACTTTTAATATTTATACAATATTGTGTTTCCCCTTAATGGCATTAAAAGCATGTGGGTTTTCTTTCTTTCTTTCTTTCTTTCTTTCTTTCTTTCTTTCTTTCTTTCTTTCTTTCTTTCTTTCTTTCTTTCTTTCTTTCTTTCTTTCTTTCTTTCTTTCTTTCTTTCTTTCTTTTTTTTGACAGATGGATGCTAGAATTGCCCAACACATCCAGGAACTGTCTGTTTGCAGTGACGCTGATAACCCAGAGGATGTGAGTATTTAATTGCTCGCTAAATATTGTAGGTATCACTTTTTTCCTCTTGGTTTGTTCCTATATTAACTATTTTGGGGTAATTCACAAAAAGCCATAACCGTAACCAATATGCTACTCACATCTGTATCTATTTCTCTGTTCTTTCTCTCTCCATAAAATATTATTATTGTTAAGATATCCCATATTTTCCCTCTTTTATCTTCCTGGCTTTCAATTAGGTTACATATGGGGGAGAATTTGGTAAGGCACTGATAAGAATCCAGACTTGGGGAAACCTATATATTCCACATGAGTTTGTGAAAAGGAGTTATACAGTGTTCTACACTGCAACCATTTAAAAATGGTTTAAAAATATTTGTTGGAAATTTCCACAAAATTCTATAGACTTTTATAACAGGATAATTGCACAATAAATATCTCGATCTGAAAGCATCCTGGATGAATTTGGGTCAGTAATCAGCATATAATCAACTTAAAATGTTATCCTGGTGATGATGTACTTTGTATTTCTTCTGTCATGTTCCTTGAAAGTTTCATATGTAATAATTTAGTTTCATAGCTGATAAATGTTATTTCCCGTCACTTAATTTTTGTAGCTCTTTTTCTGCCTCTTCTAGTGCATCACACCTTTAATGAGATTCTTGGAGTATGAGCTTCAGTATCTAAACATGAACCTTGTCCAGGAAAATTTTAACAGGTAAAGCAGGATGCTGGCATGCTGAGAATCTTTTATTCAACTACATAAAAAGCAGTGTGTAGTTGCCCAACTATTGCTGAACTTCTGCTCCAATCAGCCACAGACAACATGGTAGTGTTAAGGAATGATGAGAGCTACATTCCAGCAATACAAACAGAACCACATGTTATGTGTTCCTAGACTAAAAGGATTTCACATAAGGAGGAAAATGGCTTTTGCAGAGATGTTTTGTCATGTTATGAATTAGGGATCATAGTTGGCACTAGCTAGGGCATCTGCAGAAGGAAGAGCAAGGCTCTTGTCTCTCTTAAACCACAGTTTGGTGTAATTGATCTACTATTCAAAAATAACAAAAGGAAGGGAGAAGGAAAGCATCTGAACAAGCCATAACAATTGAGGTCATCCAACCGAAGAAAGAGCCAGTTTGTGGAAATCAGGGTAAAGCACAAGAGGAATAGGATCAAAGGACAAGAGGGGAAAAAAGAGAACTCTGATTTCTAAATTGATAGATAGTACATTAGGAAATCATTGGTAGGATCCAAAAACCATCCTAGACGAAGAAGGCATTAACTGTGTTTATTTAGGACACGGTGGCCATTCTCCACGTTCTGATGTTCCCTTCTTTATCTATGCATCCTTGTCTCTGGGGCTTTTTAGGATGCGATGGGCATGAGAAACAAAATTAGGCAAAAGGAAAAGGACATAGCGCTTCCTTGAGTCGAGACCAGCTCTTGGTGACCCCCTTAGCAACAATACCAATGTCTTTGGATGCATGTGTTTCTTTTCCTTTTGTTTCTCTGGTTCCTCCTTCTAATCTAAGTTTACCACGTCAGTCACCCAGAATTGTTGGGAGTTGGGCATACTTTAAATTCAATAAAGTCTTTAACTAAATAAAACAGTGCTTTTGAATTCTTCTGTGTAAATTCTCAGTGGAACCTAAAGCCATGGTATGTCTTAATGGTGTCCTATTGAAAGGGACAAGTACTAACCAAGTCTAGCCCTGTTTGGTTTTCTGAGACGAGCAAAAGTTGGCTAGGTACTCGCATTTGCTGTGAATGGAATACAGGAAAAGAGAAGTATAAATATTGTAAATGGTTAAAACAAAGTACTGGCATCTTATTTTGTCCTTTGAATATTAATGTCCCTTTTCTGTGATTACTTTTCCTCTGGGTTTAGAATAACTGATGCTCTTTCATGACCCACTAAATATCTGCATGTTTTATTTTTAATATCAGTCTATTTGGTTGTCTTATGTTGTCCTCCTATGGAATATTTCTTAAACCTCTATGAATTAGAAACTTGATAAACTGTTGGTTTGCTGCCTTATCTTTCTTAGTATCCATTTGCCCCCAATTAATCCTTCTTGAGATCCTCTGTGTGTGTGTGTGTGTGTGTGTGTGTGTGTGTGTGTGTTAGAATATAGGTGGATCAATGGGTGTGAATTAGGGAGGAGGGATATAATTTAATTACTGTAGTTTTTTTTTTAATGCAAACTTTTGATATCACGTGTTTGAATCAATGCACACTGAAATTTAGCTATCTTTCCAAAGTGATTCTCTAAATTTTGCAAGGCGATTTATTTATGAAAATGTTACGCAGAAATGAGAACACTGGTTGCAAAATCTGCCCCCCTTAGATAAAACTGCAAACCAAAGTCATGCGTTTGAAGAAATGCATCCTGCCAAAATGATACATTTCTCAACACAAAATGAAGAAAATAGCTCAAATAGAGTGGGATAAAAGGAACTTTAAAATGCAATGAAGATAAAACAGTGAAGACAGATCTTTAAACATTAGAAATGGAGAAAAAGTTAAATTTATAATCCACTCATCCTTAATTTGAGCAGCTTCGGTCCGGCTCCAGAGTCAAATGTACTAGGCTTTGCTGAGCCTTAGTAAAAATGCCTTGTCTAGCAATCTGTTGTACAACTCTACTTCTTTTGGTTCTTCCCAAACAGTCTTCTGGAGCTTCTGTGGAATCACACCTTGGACTTGCTAAAAGACGCTACAAAACACCAAGTTGGAAAATTGGACTACTTTAGGAAATTCCAATTTGCCCTCCAGGTACTTAAGGGTGTAAAGTGAAACCAAGGAGGAAGGGCATGACTTATGCTGTGCCCAAGTGTCCTGCTGCTTTCTCTCTTTTTCTCCATCTCTCCCACAGAGCTTGGAACTTTGCTTTTATGGAGAAGGCTGTGGACTATCCAAAGAGGCCCTTCACACACCAGCTTTTATAGTAAGCTACTGCAACCCTTGCTACCTATTGGGATTCCATGCCAGCCTGTGATCCCGGTAGTTGAGTCTGGGGAATCAGAGGAGGAGGAGGAGGAGGGGCCTGGAGAGCCATCAGAGTCGGAGGGAGGCTCTGATGCGCTGCAGGACTTACAAACTAATGAAGAGGCTGGTCCTTCCACTCGTGATCAAGCTGAGAGCCAGCTGTGCTGGGAAGCTGAGTCGGATTCAGAGGAAGCACAGCTGGAAGACCTCAGAGACGCTCATAAACATAGACAGGCCACACGAGTAGGACAGAGGGAGGCAATGGGGCAACTCCAGGGAAGGAGGAGAAAGCAGTGAGAAGCCACGCCTTGGGGGCTGCATAACAAAAAGGGAATGTGTGGGCAGGGCTGGTTGCTGGAGGCAACTGTTTGCAAAGAACTTCAGTGTCAAGAGATCATGGTGTGTTTATTTTGCCTGTGACTCGTGCTCCGTTTTGCTTTTGGACAAGGTCTCCATTGGAAAAGTGTTCTGTTGCTTTTGTTTTTCTGGGACAATTATCAGGTCTGTAACTCAAATAAAAAGGGTTTATTTTCCAGTCTACTGTTAAAAGAGGGGTTGTCTTTGTGAAGTAACAAGGACGCACGTAGGTTGGGACAGAACACTACCCTTATAACAAGCCTGTACAACTTGCAAAGGAGAAAGAGCCACATCGATAGATTTAAAATCTTTCTGGCCCCCAAACAGTGGTGGGATTCAGCCGGTTCGCACCACTTCGGTAGAATCAGTAGCTAATTTTTTTTTATTGCCCAGGCCCAGAATGGACTTCTGGAAGCAGCACCCACACAGAGAACTGGTTGTTCACATATTTGAATCCCACCACTGCCCCCAAAGTAATGCGGTAGCTAGCATGCCGATCAGCTGTTCGGTGGCTTAGTGAAACGGGCAACCCTGGAACTGGCAGCAGTGGTGAGACTTCGAGGCATTCTGCAGTGTGCCTTTCAAGCCAGCAACAGTGGTGGTGGTGAATTTATTACTTTTTTAAAAAAATGCCAATGAGCCATATGGGACTGCTTGGCTGACCACATGTTGTACAGGCCTGCTTTACAGAAAAACGTCTGAGCAATAAGCACTCTAAGCATGCACAAACATTGGGCTTTACATATCTAAATACATTTAAAAAAACAATAGCACATAACCTACGTTTTCTATCCATTCCTGCATCAACCTACCTTTGCATACAAAACCCCTGCATGAACATCCCATATGTTCCCTGCTGACTCACATAACATTAGCGCGTAAGGACCACAAATACTGCATCTGTTAGCCAAACATAAACAGGTTTTTTTTTTTTTAAAAAAAATGCAGATTATGACTTACGCAAAAGTTGCCCACCTGTGTTGTGGTATCATATGTGCTGCCCTGTCAGAATATTCATCCTGTTCAAACTATGGATCTAGTTCACATGTGAAGTGGAAGGAAAGCTTTTGTGCGTTTTGAAGATGCCACTTCACTTTAAATAGTGTTAAGCCAGCGGTAAACTTTTGTGAATGGAGCAGGGAGGTCATTTGTACTGTTCTCCTGTAGCTCTTGATTGAAATTATCAAAATCACTGGGTGAAAGTATTCACTTCACTCTGACGTTAAACATAAATGTGCTGATAAAATGGCTCTAGATCAGGGGGTCCCAAACTCTTCAGCTCATTGACCTCTTCATGAAGTTTCAGATTGTTCATCAAACCCCCAAAGATTTATTATATGAAAATAATTTAATAAACTCTACTTTAACTAATAGGGTACCTGTCTGGTATAGTAGCTATGATATCAGGGTGGAGACTGGGAGATTGTAAGTTCTAGTCCAGCCTTAGGCATGAAGCCAGCTGGGTGACCTTGGGCCAGTCATTCTATCTCAGCCCTAGGAAGAAGGAATTACTAAAAGCACTATGCATTCAACTGTAATTTTGTGTGTGGCCTGACATTGGACAAACAAGATCACCGTGTCAAAAGTGTCTAGTGTAGCAACACTTCCTATCTGGGAAAGCTTCCATTTTTATTTCTCTCTCTTACTCATGTATTAATTATTTTATTCATAGTCTGGTGTTTCTGCTGAAACTCATTTCTCTCATAGGCTCTGGAGAAAGAGTTGGATCTTTGCTCCTCCACCAGCAGAAAACTTATTGAAAAGTATTTCAGTGCTCGAATCCAGCAGCAGGTGAGGCCGATTCTAGCTCCTGTTTAATAATATGATAATAGCAATAGTAATAGCACTTAGATTTACAGCACTCTCTGAGCTGTTTACAGAGTCAGTATATTGCCCCTAACAATTTGGGTCCTCATTTTCCTGACCTTGGAAGGATGGGAGGCCGAGTCAACCTTGAGCCGATCAGGATCGAACTCCTGGTATGTGGGCAGAGTTAGTCTGCAATATTCCATTCTAACCACTGCACCATTATAGATCCTTTTTATTTGTTCCTTCCTTTTGCTCATCTTAATTGAGTTCAGTTGTTGATACAGCCATGACTATTGACTTACAGCACGGTAAACAATCTTTTGATAAATGGGGCAGCACTTACTTTTTTTTAAGAAAGTGGGAGGACCGCACTTATAGAAACTGGGGCAGGAGTTGTTGCTTTCTCTGGGTTTGGTAAGGTAGGCTGGGAGTAGTTTGTTTTTTAAACATGTTGAAAATTCTTGTAGAGTTTATACATTAGTTGTTATTGATGTCTTACCTTTAACTGATGGTAAGCCATACCTCCAATTTTCAGAATAATGTGCAGCAGACTTGCACATGAGCACAGACAAAAGTTAAGGTAACCACAACTGATGTTGGAACTTCAGGCTGATTTACAGCTTCAAATTTGAAGTGTTAGAATTGGACAGAATCACCAAGGGCCAGAGCTGGTATTTGAAATTTCCATGAGAATTTTTTTTTCTTTTAGTAGAATTGTATTGTTTCCTATTCAACTTAGTATGCTGAAGCATTACAATCAGAGTGATAAAAATTCTGCCATGATACTGGTGGAAACAATTTGGGCATTTTGGTCCTGCCATATTTCACAGTGAAGAAAATATTAACATTGAACAAAGTCCACTAGCACAGGGGTCCCCAACCCCCCGGTCCGTGGACCATACCGGGCCGCAGCATGCCAGCAACCGGTTCACATAAACAAGCAAAGCCCCATCCGTGGGATACAGACAGCACACAGAACCACGTCCCCTCCGGTCCGTGGAAAAACCTCTCTCCATGGAACCGGTCCCTGGTGCCCAAAAGGTTGGGGACCTCTGCAATGGCATACATTTTCCTACCCTTATTAGTTTAAGTTTAGGGGGGGAAACTATGTAAAATTATATGAAAGTGGTGATTGTTATGTTAGAAAATATCTTATCAGGAAGACATGTTTAACAAGACTGTCAACAAAATGAAATTTATTTGCAATTTAAAAATTGTTATTGGGCAGTTTATGTTAACATGTAAATTAAGAGAAGATGCACACATTTTCAAATATATATGAAAAAACTGCATTTTTTCTGAAATTAGTTGCATAGATCAGAAGAAACTACTATCAAACAGTATTTACAGTCTGAGATACAGCAGTGGTTCAGGCTTCTTAAAATTTGATCACTATATTTAAAAATCACAGTCTGTTTGATTTTTAAAAAGACCCACATGATCAGTGGCAAATGTTAAATATTTTTGTAGAAAATACATTAAATTTTTATTACTATTCAGGATGGAATTAAAATCTACCCACCACTGTTGATAATGGTCTGAAAGAAAAACATGCACAAATTGCTATATAGAAAAGGAAAAATACTTATTTAAGCAAAATGAAGTTTGGACAATGTGACCTTCCAGATATCAGATTCCCTCATCATAGTCCGTACTGGCTATAAATAATGGATGCTGGAATTTAATCCTTTGATAGTCAGCTAGCCTGAGAGGAATTAAGCCATCCAATGATCAATCATTTTAATATGGGAAATTATGCAGTTTAATTATTTTGTACATTATTTAGGAACAGGTAATATGAGTTATAAAACTGTCCAATGCAATGGTATCAGACTTTCTGATTTTGGATAGATGGTTTATCTTCTGGCTTCCTTAATACTTTGGCCTTTTTATCTTTGACAGCACATCATCATTTTCCCTGACAGTTTTTCTCGTTGTTCTTCTCTTAGGAAGAGGCCACTCCTGAAAAATATGGTGCTGTGACTATCAAAGCTTTTTACCGTCACTCAGAACAAAAACTGTACGTTGAAGTACTCAATGCGGTTAATCTTCTTCCCATGGACTCAAATGGTAAGAGAACTTTTGGGCTAAATTGCTGAATAATTTGAGATATATTGTTAGCCTCATTAGTGTGGGTAATGAAATTGATCCTCGCCTGCACTGTTGAGTTTAGAGATACACTTATTTAGCATATTGCTGTTTAGTTTTGAGTGTAGCCACCTATTGATATGTATGGACAGACTTGATTCAAATGGAGCTGATTTTACTGTCGAATCTAGCCACAGGTCAAGAATTCGAAGACAGCAAAACTAGCTTTGAATTTTTTAGGATCACGTTAATCTGTTCTGCAGAGAATACCCCCACTCAGTCTAGACCATATATTTTATGAATGAACTATCACAGCCTTCTGTACTGTTATGTTTTTTTTGTATAGAAATAATTTAAAAAATGGTTATTACAAGGGTGCATGTGTGGTGGAGGTTGGTATACTATTGCTAGGTTTTTTGTCAGTGTCAAGTTGCACGGCATATTGCTCTGTGCAAACACATACTGTAGATTGTCTCCTCTGCTGTGGCATTCTAGCCAACAAGGAGCTGGATATGTGAGCCATTGTCAGAGCACAAATGCAGTATTTTACCTTTCCCAATAAAATCAATATCGGAGAAAACCAAGGAAAGTTTTAAAAATGAATGTTCAGCACGTTCCTATCTCAGCCAATCTTAGCCACTAAAAATCAAAGGCAGTTCTATCTATCTGATAAGCCACCTCCAACATTATATTTCTTAATTGTAGATGGGTCTATTCTAAGGATGTCAATACACACAGTTAGGGAAAGATGCCAAGATGTCAAAAGTCCTGTTGGTGCCTTCTTAAATGGAGAAAAGAATAGGCTGCCTGCATTTCATTCAGCTCTCCAGAAGAGGAGGATGTTGACTGAGTGCTGCTGAAACTCTGCAAATAGTGCATTTCTGGCTGTGCTTGTCTTTTTAAAAAGCTGCTATGAATCACACTGCTCCAGGAGCTTGGAATAATAATAATAATAATAATGAAAAAGATCAAAAGGGGGAAAAAGATCATGAAGGAAAAGAGGATTCGTTTATTTGAAAATACAAAGTTGAATTTAAGAATGATCAGAGTTTAGCAATACAGCACATACAACTTTCCCCAACTTCACATTATCCAGATATCTTGGCACTGCAATGAAGATAATTTGCCCTGGCATAGTAGAAGATAGGAAATTGCAGTTCTCAATATTTGGGGAGCATCAGGTTGTGAAGGTCTGGAATGTACGTAACGTTCAGGACTGTCATTATTAGTTAACAGGAGTGAGAAAGAACTTCCCCGATCCTTGATTTAGATGTTAGAGGATTGTTGCATATCAACAGACAGCCCTACGCAAGAGTGACCAATAGAATGACTCAGAAAACAGTAGTTCCATCTACTCCATATCATACAGGAAAGGACTGGAGAAGAAAGTGATACTTGATATCTGCAGATCCCTCACATCCTGTCATAAACTGTTTCAACTTCTCCCCTCAGAGTGCCACTATAGGGCATTGCATGCCAAAACAACTAGACACAAAGACAGTTTTTCCCTCCCATGCCATCACTCTGCTAAAATATAGTTCCCATAGCACTATCTATGCCTACAGATATCTAACCATATCTACCGGTATTATCCTTCTCTTCTTTCCTATTACCTACTCCTATTGATTGCTTATGACTATAACTTTGTTGGTTGTGTCTTATAATTTATGATTGTATCTTATGATTTATGATTTATCACTTGTTGCTTGTATGTATACTGAAAGCGTATGCTCCAGAAACAAATTCCTTGGTTATCCAATCATATTTGACCAATAAAGAACTATTCCATTCCATTGAACTCAGTTTACAAACATTCTAATAAAACTGAACAATATAAGAACTTTACCTCTGTCCTAACCTTGTGTATTACAACATGTTGAATACTAAGTGAATGTGCCTTACTTTGGAGGCTTTTTTGAGAAACAAATGTTCATGACAGATGAATAGGTTTTGCATTATTGTTCTGTTATTTATTCTACACCTTCTCCTCCCCCCAATATAGGCTTAAGTGACCCCTTCATCCAACTCACTCTGGAGCCACATCATGAGTTCCCTGAGATTGCAACACGGACAACTGAGTGCATAAAGAACAATCTCCACCCTCTGTTTGATGAAGACTTTGAGTTGTATGTATGAAGAGCCACTCCTCTTTCCTGTACTATAGCCATCTTCCAAGATTACACAGCTATCCTACTTAGAACATGAATTTAATATGCTCCTCATCTTCCTTTGGGTGACATGTTGTAGATATCACAGTTGTACTGTAAGAAAACTGCCTATGAGGTTGAGCTCTGTTCCCCACTGGGGGTGGAGGTGGTGATAATATACTAAGTTGTCCTATTTCTATTTGAAGACTTGCGGTATCATGATTTCACCATTGGCATATTGTTTTCCCTACAGTTTGGTTCCTCCAGAAAAATGTCAGCAAGATGGAGCATGTCTGCTGCTTACAGTGTTTGACTATGACACCTTGGGAAAAAATGACCTGGAAGGAGAAGCTTTCCTCCCACTCTGCAGGGTCTTGGGACTGAATGAGCCTGAAGAGTCAATCAACCCATCCAGAGTACCACAGATCCGTTTATCCTTAACTCATCCGGGAACTGCTGGTAACTATCTCTCTCATCCTTCATGCTATCCTCTGGAACGAAAACATTCTGGTTAACAATCCATCTCAAACAGGATCAAAAAACAATTTTATTTATTCTGTTGCACAAACCAGGCTATTAATAAGTCAGAATATTCATTATATTATTTATGTTTTGCTACAAAAAGAGAGAGAAGGCTGTGAATTAAAATAGAAGTGATTATAATTGTAGCATGCTAAATTGAGGAATTAATTCATTAGTCATTTTAATCTAGCTGGTGGCTCTTCTACCTTTGTCAAGCAATGGTATAGATTTGCATGAAATATCTTTTGTTCTGAAACTTCCATAAAAAAAATTGGGTAAAGTAAATGCCCTTCTACAATTATATAGGATGCTACATTTATAACACTATAAAATGTAGAATAGCAATTGAAGATGTACATTATCAAAAAAGAAGAAATATCAGATGAATTTCTTGCCCACAAACATCTTACTGTACCACTTCTCTCAAGTAATTGTGAAAGTGGAAAAGAAACTGGCTGTAATATTTTAATATACTTCCAGATTTTTTTAATACCACTAAATGTTGAAATACTGAAATATTGAAAAGTGACATAGCATCAAGAGCCACACGTGTTTTGCATGTTCTGAGTAACCTTTTGCAATGATGAGATGAAACCTTAGAAAAGTTTGCCCTATAATGTCTTTAAAGAAGGTAGAGTTAAGAAAATTCTATTGGCCTGCTTTTAATCTGTTTTACTGAAAATGGACTATTTGCTCTACCTGGATCTTGTTCTTGTTCCATCCACAGGGAAATTACATGCAATTCTCTTTTCGTTAATGGGTTAAAACCTGATTTAAGCTTTGCATTATTAAACTGAGAGTGGATATTTTCTGAAGATTTCAGTAGATACCAGGTTTTAAATTCTTAGCACACCATGGGCTTGGAAAGATAAGCCGATTACCTATTGCCTCAGCAATTGCAGAAACAGTTTTGCCTTCTTTAGCAGCAGATAAAGTGATTTCCCATTGGTAGGGATCGGGATTTCATCTCTCCCTGATTCCTCTGGCCATGCTTTGTGAGTCTTGTGCCCACCACCTACTTCTCTTCAATTGCTCTAGGGGGTCAGTTTTGCTGGTCTTTCTATATAATGAGCACATTTTCTTCTGTTGGCTGAGCACTGAAGAAGTGCTGAACAGAGTAGTGTAAGGATGAAGCACATGATGAAATGAAGTGAGGATTAAGGCTTGCACTGGCCTTTAGAGAAAGATAAACTCGGGGCATTTTGCAAAAACGATTCCAAATTGCTGATTACTATATTTTTTTCTTTCTTTCTTAACTCTTTCCTTCTTATCCAAGTGACTGTTACAAGTCCCAGCCTGTATCAGTAATTGCTTTTGAATTTTCTTAAGGTTCATAGAAAAAGTAGAGATTTCCTATGGTTCTTGACTCTATGCATTTTAAGTTCCTTGCACTCAAGACATTAGATTAGCAATTAAATCTCACTTTATCCACCCCTTTAAAAATGTACTTTAAGATTCTCCCAAGATGAAACATGGATTAATTCAAGACTAAAGAGGATCAGAAGAAAATGTTTAGGGCTAGAGGAAGAAACCAAAACACCTTTTTTTTTTTTAAAGAAAACCATGTCTTGTTTGCTATATGTATTATTCACTAATGTCCATTATTTTAATACACATTTTTCCACCACTAAATATTTCTAGTTTTTACTTCTACAGAAGTATTTTCCCCAAATTATACCTCTCAATTTTTGTGATTGATATCCATGTAGCATATATGCTTTCACAAGGAACCTAGCATCCCCAATCAAAACAAATTGCACAAAAGTTATATTACTTTAAAAGACTTTTCCATAGGAAGAAGAAAAAAGCAGGCAAACAGATACAAATAGAAATTTGTAGTGAGTTAGGCATAATACCGAAGGCCAAATTGAGCAATGTTGTCCTTTTGGGATTGCACGGAAGAAGCCAAGTCATTTTTTCACACAGAATCATAGGGCTGGCAGAGACCTTGGAGGTGGTCTTCTCCAACCCAAGGCAGGAAACCGTATAACATTCCAGATAAATGGTTGTCCATTTTTTTCTTGAAAACCTCCAGGAATGGTACACTGACAATTCCGTGAGACAAGCTGTTGCATTGACTAGTTGTTCTCACTGCCAGGAAATTCTTCTGATGAGCTTCCATACATGGCTTCTTGTCCTGCCTAGGGCACTTTGGAAAGTAGACCCCTTTTCCCCCATGACAACCCTTCAAGGTATTGAAAGGGGACTATCATGTCACTCCGAAGTGTTCTCTTCATTAGGGAAGACATACCTAGTTCCCTTAGATGTTCATGGTACAGTTTAGCCTCCAGGCCTTTTTTCATCTTTGTTTCATCTGCCCTTTTTCTAAGGCCTCAGCATCTTTTTATCATGGTATACAATAAAAATTCTGTTGTAAAAGCCTTGCTCAGAAGCATCTAGGCAGCTTCTCTGTTGACAGCTGGGTAATGAACAATGGAACTTTGTTTGGCAGGAAAGTGACTTCGTATTAATTTTCTGAGAAAAGTGTACTATAGTAGTACCGCTATACCTCCATGAAATGCAGATCATCTCTTCCCTCTTAGGCAATGACATCCTGAAGCTCCTGGGGACCCGGAAAGGAGACAAGGAAGCACAAGCCTTTGTGAAGCTACGCAGACAAAGAGCAAAGTATTCCAAGGAGCTGGCATGATGCAGTCAAGCAAAATGGGTTAAAGCACAGGTTGAACCAAGGTACAGCAGAAGTTCTGCTGCCATGGCAACAGCTGATCATACGGGAGTGTAGGAAGCCACGAGGCTCTTGTTCTTCCTCCTGTTGGCTTTGATGCAACAAACCAGACACTGGAGGCTCTTTATCTGTGCAAATTGAAACTGCCGGTTGTGTTTCAATGAACAACTGATGTATTTTCATTCAAGAGACAATAGCAAGGAGCCATCCCACCCAGCCCACTCCCCACTCAATATTCTTTCTTTGCTGCAGGAGTTTGAAAAGTACAAAAAAGAAGGGGAATGTCGAAACCTGCTGCAGGCTGTCCTAAGCTGATCTACGCCCGTCATTATGTGTGCAATGCAGCTCTGCTGGGAAGAACCAGGCTGTTTGAGTAGTGAAGCTTGTGATGAGCCTCTTGTGGACCTTCTGCAGGAAATTTTTACTCTGTGCTCCAGATGGCACGGGAAAGGGGCTCCCGAGGGAAAGAAAATAAACATTTTGGAAGAGGAAAAAAAATGGGTGTGTTATCTATCCTGTTACAGAGTCTGGGACTGCCTTCTGCTTAAGCAGCTTGATTTAAAAAAAACAAACTGAAAAACTGCTGGTAACAGTTCCCAGGTCTCTTTATATCCAGGGTACCGTTTTCATAATTGCAAAGGCAGCTCAGCAAAGTCTGAAAACCCCTGTGGTTGAAAGCAATGGATGAATGAATAATTACTGTACAATCCTCACCTCTACCAACAGTGCCGTTCTTGCTCTAGCTGTAAGCTAGTTTTCTCTTAGGGGATCACTGGGGCTGGAGATGACACGTGTTACAAAAGCAGAATTTCAGAGGATGAGGGCAACAAAATGTCTTTGCTTCTGCAGCACGAAGGAAAAGTCATGCTGCTGTGAATTAGCCTCAGGTAAATAAATTCAGGGGCATGAAAGAAGACAAGTAACGATGTTTCAGAAACATTTCAGTTTTTCAAAGTTGATAATTTTTCTGTGCCAGGACCCGTGTTCCCATGACAATATTACAGCTTCATGCGCTCTTCCTTCTGAGAGGTCCCATTTTCATGCCCCAGTGTCCAAAGTTAAACAAGGTTTCCATAAAAAAAAGAAAATTACTTAATAGGCTTAAGGTTCTCAGCTGTTTTTTTCCCCCTCTCCCATCAGAAACAGCAAGACTACAAAATGATTAAATAAAACTAGGGCACACTGTTTCACCATGTGAGAAAGGAATCAAGGCCTCAGGATTAGGGAAAGAACGGGGGAAGGGGGAGTTCAAAGCCTCATGATGGCTGCTTCAAGTATGTTAAAGCCGTCATACTTCAAAGATTTTTCACAGGATTAGAAAACAGCATTGCATATTTGTAGCCTTAGGTCCACTTCTCTTTATCCTCTCCACAAGAGTGTAGGTGTGGCTACTCAGACCTGAAATGCATTTAAGGGTATTTAAACATTCCTACCTATAATTAAGAGCACATTTTTCACTAGTAAGATTCAGGCAGGTTAAAATGTATTGCTCTAAACCACTTATCTATGAAGTCACGGAAAGGCACTGGAGGCAGATTTGCTTCCAGAAAGACTTGCTGCCTAAATCGCTACAGATGCGACCAGAGCAGATGTTACTATTTTTCTGGGAATTGGCATAGCCTAGCAGGCCTCTTCTGATTCGCAGGCGAGCAGAAGTGTGGAGAGCACAGCTGGGCCTCAGGGTTCATACCGCTTAAGAGTCAACCCCTTACTTGCTAAATCTGCTCCTCATAAATAAATCTGCTTTCAAGCTAAAGTCACAGCTGTGCATTGCAGATGTGCCTTCCATAACTCATATGCTGTGTGAAATGCTTACCTTTAGCTGGTCACCATCCCAAGTTTACTTGTAAATATAACGTGTTCCTGCTACTTACTTTTCTGCCATCAGTAAGACAGTATTTTTGCATCTTTGCCAACTGGGACATCCTTACTTAAAAGTTCAATCAGAATCAATAGCTCTAAAACAAAAGTGTTATCATACTAGGGGTTTTATTTTCCATTTCCTTTTAAAATACAAGACATGTGCCCCATGGGATCATTGTTTCAGAGAGATTTTCTTATCCAAACGAGAAACAGATGACCAAGGGTAGGCAAAAAACCAGTGGGAGCAGCAGCAGCAGCTTCTGATTTCTGCCAGTTTCCCCACTGAGTCTCTTGAGGAAATCTGGCAGAGAGCACCAGAAATCTTTAATCCCTTCCCTACTTAGCAGGCAGATAATGGCTGTTGCTGGGTGGAGGAGGGACTAAGGGACTGTGAGATTGGCTGGGAAACTGTCACAGAATGTTGGAAATGAAGATCATATGACCACAGTAGCAACCAGTAGCATTGAAACAGCCAAAACTTTCCCAAATTTCATTCCCTTAGAAGTCATGGGTCCCAGACTTTGGATGCATTCTGTAAGTAAGCCCATTTGGGATATTTTGGTTCAAGAATTGCCCAAAATGCACCATTTTGCCCACTTAAACATATAATGAATTTTAGTAGGATATAGATGGATTCACTGAATTGCAACCCATTGCATTATCATCTTTGGTCTGGCTTTCACTGCCGCAGACCTATTTCCAGGAGACTTGCCATTACTTACGATATGTGTATATGAAAAGTTAGGAATCTCCCTAGCCTCCATGTGATTCAACTTATGCTTAATATGATTTCATTTCAATTCAGCTGTCTGTTTACCTTGCATAGAGAAATCAGTTTCAGGCTGCTTTGATTTAAACCACCATTCTCAATAATTCGGTGTCCTCCAAAACAATGGTGCATTCCAGATAATTTAAGAATAAATTAAATCATCTGTCAAATATAGTACTGTACCTCTTACTGACTGAAAATGTTATCAATATGTGTAACTGCTATGTCATCTTTAATCAATTACCAATTCCTAAGAAAGACAGCTTTCTAATTCATGAATGCTTAGTTTATGCAGGAGTCTTTACAGGAAAAAACTGTCAAAAATATTTTGAAAAGCCAATTGTTTGATGTCTAAATGAGGAGAAAAATTCTAACGAACAGAAATTTTCCTCAGTCAAAGAAATGATGCTAATAATATGGTTCCATATATAGATTCACCTGCCACGGATTTAATCCTAGCTGACTTTTAGACTATCAAGCCGATCATTTGTTCTGTCTGCAGCAATTCCTTTAAAAAATTAATGCAACAAACACCCAGTATGGGTGATTTTAGGAATAAACTATTTTTGCCAAAACATCAGCATTTTCAGCTTAGTTTTGGAAGAGGAAACCATGGGAGAGATGGAAAATTTCCTTCTCCTCTGCTCCCCTGCCCCAAGAATTTGCCAGAGTTTTGGGAAGACTTGCTCCTCTAAGAGCTTGGCTATCTCATTTTCACAACCACCTTGAACCAATGATTTTCCTTTTTTTTTTTTAAGGTTAGTTGAATTTCTTCCTCAGCTATATAACCTCCAGATGTGTTGGGATTACAAGTTCCAGAAACACCAGGAAACACAATCATGCCAGATTGGTGTAGTGGTTAAGGCAGTAGGCTAGAAATCAGGAGAGTGTGAGTTCTAGTCCCGCCTTAGGCATTAAAGTCAATTGGCTGACTTTGGGACAGTACTTGATGTCAGTCGAACCTGCTTCACAAGATTGTTGTTGTGGGGAAAAAGAGGAAGGAATATTAGGTGTGTTTGCCACTTCAAGTTATTTATAAAGTAATAAAGGAAGAATAAATAAAAATCTAATAAATGAATGAATGCTCCCTATAATTTGCAATGGCACTAAGAAAAGGTTAGGGACCAAAATGACTGATATCCAGCTACTTAAGAAATGGAGTCAATACAGTCCTGCTTCTTTCATCTTGAGAATTTACTTTAAGAATTTCAATTGCTCAGTAGGAAATAAGCAAAGCCATGGTACTCCGACCTGCTATAGTCCTAGCTTTGAGAATGTGAAACTACTATAGAAACAACTCAATAATTTCATACTAATTTTATAGTATCTTGTGGTATTTTTGATTGCCCCTCTCCTGAGCTATCCATCTTACAAACCCTATTCCATGAGCTATATTTACTAATGCAGAGTGAATGTCCCACAGTCGAATTAGCCACCAGCTATTCTTAGCCTTGTATGAAATGGGACCATATTCATCCAAAGATAAGCACCTTAAATTATATCATCACACCAAGGAAGACAAACTGGAGTCATTACAGACAGAAATAAAAGACAATCTGGACAAGTGCAAATACAAATATCATTAGGGAGTGTAGCTCAATCCAGAGAAAATGACTGTACTGCACCTAATTTTACTGACTCTCAAGTTACTTATGATTGGTTTATCCTGCTATCAATAAATCTCAGTATGATTCAATTTATGATTGCTAAATTTCCATGATGGTGCCTTCAGTTTTAAATCCCCGATCTTAAAATTAGCAGAATTATTTAAGTAAGAATTGTCCAGCTCATATGACGAGAGAGATATTACAGTGCAGTAATCTGTTTATTAAACAGGCCTGCCTTTGTTTTCTTTTTTTCAAAAGTGATGGGCAGATAGATGGGATACCAGTTTGGAATGAAGAAATGTGAAAAATTCCTAGCTAATATTGTTAGCAGACTTCTCCACTATTTACAATTGGATGTTGGAAAAACTGCTTGAGTAAACTTCCAGAAAGCCAGCATCTCCACTCACCATTCTGAGTCCTTCAAGCTAAGTCTTCAACAGCCTGCAATTGTCTCATCTTCAGCCATTACAAAGATTCACTAGAGTCAACTAGTGAATGGGAGTGCCAAAATTGCTGTCCCTATCCATACTCTCATTTTTATGGCAGGGCAAAAAAAGGGGGAAAAAGCCAAAGCCATTGCTATTGGACCAACTTCAACCAAAGACCTGCCTGAAGGCACAAAGCTGCTACAATGAAGCCCAAAACCAGCCCACGCCCAAACCTAAAGAACTTCTAATGTCTCAAATAGCAAAATTAAAATGTGTGATTTGAGATTTTAGGCAGTTGGATGAAAGAAAATCAGCTTGCCTACAGAATCAGCTCGTACAGAATCTGCTGCACTCCGGGAGCAGTACCAAAGTTATTACTGTGTGAAGAAAAAAAAAGAGGTACCGTACTCACTACAAAGCACCAAGAAGGAAGACTTTCTTAGATCTAGAATTGTTTTCCCTGTGGACTCTTAGGAATGGGAATACTGGCAGTAACGATTTTTTTTTTTAGAATGAGAATTTAGGATTTGAGAAAAAGCCCAAGTCTCTTTTAATTTTGTCTTTATACCATAAACATATTTTTTTAGAAAACATCCTAAAATCCTATCATCTGTATTATACAGAATGGGGAATGAATTATAGAATACAATATTAACTCATTTTAGTATATGAATACAATATTAACTCATTTTACTGTACACTGTCTTCAGAAGTCTCCAAAACCGTATTATGGTTTTCATAGTATCAAAAACTAAAAAGGTGATAGGTAGGTTTCTTGGCATACAACCCACAAAATACTCTTCAGCCACATGCTCTG